GCCAAAAAAAAAAAAAATATTTTTTAAAAAAAAAAAAAAAAAAAAAAAAAAAAAAAAAAAAAATCAGAAGCACACAAAACAACAACAACAAAAAAAAAAGACTCAAAAATACACCCTTACAAATAAAAACTGACAACCACATTTAAAAAAATAACAAAAAACTAGAAAATCCATTATATTCTGTACGTACATGCACACACCCGGTTAGCATCCCCGTCCCGGTTCTTTAAGCCCTCAAATATTCAAAGCTGTAACTCGTTCTCATAGATCAGGAGCGTTATGGAGCTGGTTAATACAGTAGGATGGTTTATACGCTTTGGTGAGGGGAGGAGTTACCGCAGAAGGTGCTAGACAAGCCGGAGCAGTAAAAATGGGCTTAAAAACAAGGGGGAAAATTATATCTGAGGTGAGTGAGGAGTCCAACATGGACAAAACGGAAACGGCATGAATTTGACAGTCCACCCTGCTCGGTAACGGCAACCCATATTTATACTTAGCTCCGTCTTGCTGTGGAAATGCAAAGGTAAGCAGGTTAATGTTTATATTTGTCGGTTTCTTCAGGATGCACTTTTCTTTTGTTTTAGCATATCGTTCGGGGTCTTCTGGCTCCAAGCGTCGCTGCAATAACTCAGCAAAACTGCAAAGAAAGAACAAAGGAAATAGAATAATCCAAAACATCAAGACTTTTATGCAAATTATAAATTAAGAAGTGCCTTCATCCAACTTAAGATGTTAATTTTAAATTTGCTTTTTTCCCCCCTACTCTAAGTCCACAAACTTTTCAGCAAAATATCCACGTAAAACAGACGTGTTTTACTTTAAATACAGGTAAAATGGCCACTGAGAGCATGCGGCTGACTGTCACGTACCTGTGCCTCAGCTGATTGTCTGGAAACGAGCCGTTTCGTCGTAGATCATTTCCTTCAGCGTCTCCTTGGGAAGATCGTCCAGTTCTGTTGTGAAGTCAAATGGCGTCTCCGCTTCGGGCTAACACCAGAGCGCACACAACACGGATCAAAACAGGAGCTAAAGAGTCTGATTGGTTTAAGAATTGGCAACTAGTGACTTTAACAGCTTACAGTTAAATCCAAGTCCTTCGTTTTAAAATAAAGTCCAAAATCCACTTTTCTGACACAAGAAGAGTCTTTGAACTACAACTCTGTAAAATTAAAAGTGCACTAACGAACGTGGTTGAGGGCGCCTGGAGGGCAACAGCGCAGAAAGCAGATTATTTTCTCTCTTTCTAACAGGAGCGTGTGGCAGCTTGTGGGAAACATAGAGAAAAGGGATGAAGTGAGCACTCCTGTCTCCCCGAAGATCTTCCATGTGCGAGTCAGCTTCATGACAGCAAAAAGTTAGAAAAGGGTCCATTTCTCCTCGCCTATCAGAAACAGCCTCCGTCGGAAACGCATTTAGCCCCAGGTTTGAGCGAGTTTTGGACTACTGTTAGAGGACATGGTTCTGTTGCCATGGTGACAGCAGATGGCTCTCGAAAGGTCATCAGCCAGACCTTTAAGGCAGCCGCAGGTCTTGTTATCACAAGTTTTCTTATGTTAGAAAACACTTATTGTGTTCTGTTTAGTGAAATGTGGATTGAGTTAAACTAAATTAGCAGCCACACTCTCCAAATAATTCGCTTCACCCGCAACACTTTAAGTGAAATGACAAAAAACAGTCTATTTATATGTGTAATTTCCTTTCTTACCACACTACACAGGATCAGCTTGAAGTGAAGTTTAAAATAAAATTTAAAAAAAGCTTATCAGACAAAAAAATGCACAGAATTTGAGTGACATGAATAAAAGTCTCCTAGTTTAGTTAAATGGACTAAACAATGACTTAATGTTTAAAAAAAAAAAAAAAAAAAGACTTTCAGCTGCTTCCATCCACCGTCACTATTTTGCACAACCGAGGTAGGGGACTTTAAATTTTATTTATTTATTTTCATTAAACTTTTGTTACAAGTAGCCGATAACACCTGTGGTGAACTACAGGTTTTTTTTCTACCAATAAAACCAAACTGAAAACAAAACCAACAAAGCCCGCCCTTTTACAAAAATGATCAACTTTCTTCCTCTTCGCAGTTCCAGAGCGCAACTACCTTCCATAGGCTTCGCAGCAGTTTAAACTCCAGTACAAAGTCGCTTCTCTAACCTTCGCTCTGCGATGAACTTTGGTTTTAAGACGTATTTGTACCTCATCGGTGGGGTCGTAGTACTGCTCCAGGTAGGGATGAGCCAGGGCGTCTTCAACGGTGATGCGTTTGTTGGGGTTAAATGTCAACATGCAACACAACAGGTCCAAGGCTTCAGAGAAGAACAAGGAGTTGTCATTAACCGTCTTCTGCCATTAGCAAATGTTCAGAGTTTCTACACACTCATGCAAAAAAATTAATTCAGTAAGAAAAATGTTTAGCTTGTCAGTACTCAAATGTTTAAAACATCATAAAACTCCAGATCTCTGATTTTTCCCCCCTCTTCATTAAGTCTCTATATGTGTAGGAACCCTGAATGTGGAAACTTGTCACAGCGTTTGGTTCCTGAATCTAAATGGACGCAGACAACAAACCACATTGGATGACAAAACGAACCGACCGCTGAACGCTTTTCCTCCTCAAGATGTTAAAATGATGCATTTTATTTTACTGCAGTAGTTAATTTCATTTAATCAGTTTTTTATACTTTCGTTTGTGGTCGATCCATCTTTTGCTGCATGATCCCACAGAACGCATCTTGTTTGCAGTAAACTTTTTGTTTTCCAATAAAACAATCCAACTTTGACTGACAAATATCCCCACAAGCAGCATTAGTTTTCTAGCAACACATTTCTTAGGAGTTTGTTTTTTTTGTTTAACAATCAGATTTTCACCTACAGTTTGATTGTTTAAACTTTAACGTAATAAAAACGTAACACAAGTGAATCTTCATGCATGTTAAGTTTCTCTCTGCAGATTCATATTATGTTTTCCTGCTTTTAATCAGGCTGTGGTTTCATTACTCTGACCTACTTTTCAAATGACAGTAATTTCTAAACAATGTAGGCTGCAAAACAAACTTACAAACTTTCCTTTGGAATATCCCCATTTTTCAGGTCTTTTCAAACATTCGCAGTAGTCATAAGAAGCTGATTTACCTTTTGGGTCTGCCTTCGGAAAGAGTCTGTCCCAGGGAATCCTGGTCTTTTGGGGCAGGGACTGAAGGTAGTTCCGCGCCTTCAGGTTGATTATGCAGTTCAGATCTTCTTGAGACGGTGAGCCAAGTACGCCTGCACACACAGATGTTGTTCAGCACAGCTCCTTTTTAAAATTTTTTGCTTTTTGTCCCCATCATGACTGCACAGTTAATAAAAAAAAAAAAAAGTCTCACCCAGTATATGGTTTAGTTGGTCCAAGTAGTGTTTCCCAGGAAAGATGGGTTTGTTGGACAACATCTCAGCCAGGATGCAGCCCACTGACCACATGTCGATTGACTTTGAGTAGCCCTGAAAAGAAAACAAAACAAAACAAAAAAAAAAAAAACACCCGTGCAGTTGAATACTAATTTGCCAGTCAAATACCAAAACTGCGAGAGTGAGTGAGTGAGTTAAACTCGTACCTTTGAGTTGAGCATGATTTCTGGGGCTCTGTACCAACGTGTGGCCACGTACTCCGTGAGGAAACCGGTGTGGTCGTGAACTGGATCGGCTATCCGAGCCAGGCCGAAGTCGCAAATCTGAGAAAGAAACAAAAAGGAAAAAAACAAAACAAAAAACAAATCAGTTCTTACACTATTTTCAAACTAATTCCCAAACTCCAGCCAGAGGACACACACCGCTTCTTAATAAGTTCCCGTTTTATTAATAAAGCCACTTTTGAAGTCCTATAAATTGTGTAACATGCACGTAATCCGGCAACATTTAAGCAGGATAATGTGCCGAGAAGGAATGGAGTTCACTAGGAGGCAGCAGCAGGTTTAATAAGAGGAACAACGCAAGTACATCAAACCTTTTTTTAATAAAAGGTGCAAACATGACGGTTCATTCTTTCCAACTTACCCTGTTTGCTGTGCAAATCTATTTTTAATGTTTTCTGCACATTATAGCCAGAAAGCAAAGTCACAACTGTACTGCTGCTCTAGGATTAGGTCAGACTTTGGCAACACGCTGCTTTGAAACGCTTCCTTTGTGCTCCATTCCTCACGTATGATCAGCTAATCCAGGGATTGATGGTTGAATGCCAAATGTTCACAAGACCACTGTGGATTATACACTACACACACACACACACACACACACACTCGCTGAGAGGTCAGTTCAAGCAAACAAAAATAACAAGACTGAGAGGAAGCTGCAAAATGACATTTTAATTTAACAATTTCCCCCAATTTCTCAGCTACAAGCACAAACTTTGATAGGTTTTATGCAAAAGAACATAAAACCTATGTTCTTTTGCATAAACTGCTTGCAGTTCCAAAGCTGCAAGCAGTTTTTTAGATCGTCCACAACAGCTCTTACTGAGATAGCAAAAGTTAAATAAACTTTTTTTTTAACTTAAGTCTTATTTTACGATTGTTGCAGTCAAAAAGAGAAATAATCACAAATTTTGAGGCACCTTTTTCACAGGCTTGTGGTCAAAGTTGCAATTTTTATTTTCTTTTTTATTCATGTCATAACATAGTCCTACAAAAAAAATCCTTAATGCAAATGAAATTATGCCTAAAGCGTAAGAAGAAGCAAAAGAAGAAAGAAAACAAGGGCAAATGTTTAGCGTCACACATGCTCTCGTCTTGCAGGTTTGACTGTCAAGAAATGTCATGAAACAGGAAGTTCAATTAGAAAAGAGTTGAGAAGATTGGACAAAATTCAGCTGAGTGTGGAGATTGGTCAGAAGAGAAGGAACTACAGAAAACCTGAAGGTGGCTGGTTAGGCCTGCGGAAAACTTGCGGTGATGGGGAAAAATTGCAACGTTCAAAATTCGAGAACGACAAACGAATTTGCACGAATAGTTGCGATTGCAACTTCCTGGAGGGGCTAGCTTCACGTTGCCTCATAGCACAAAGTCTCACTAGAATAGACTGATGTTTGTGTTTGTTGCAAAATGTGATAATATAAAAACCTTCACATCTACTGTAATTTCAAACACATTATTATTTATAAACAAAATTATGGATGCAAACTTTCTGAACAAGTTTGCATTTTACTCTGCTAAAAAAAAAAAAAAAAAAAAGGAAAAAAAAATTGAAATGTGAAGTTTTTATAACTCTTGAAACTAACAAGGTATTTAAAAGCGGCACCTGACCAAGAGCTAAAATCACCAAGCCAGGTGCAGCTGTCGTGGGAACGTGTAGATTTAAAGCAAAAGTAAAATTAAAACAGGGGAAAGCCAGGTCGGTCCAAGACAAAGCACAACGTTGTGCAGAGGAGGAACTAGAGCGTCCTGCATTGTCATGAAAACTCAAAACCAAATGCCACGGTATTTGCATCCTCCACACGCTGCGGTGTATTTTATTGTGATGAGCGGACAAAATTATGCAAAAAGTCTTACCGCAGACCAGGACTTTAAGCACTAATTTGTGTTGCTCTATTAAAAAAATGACAAAATGTGGCAAACCTCAAGTGGTACGAGCGCCTTTGAAGGTACGACGTCCTCCTATTTGGTCTCTGATGAAAATTTTAACGCCGGATGTCCGGACTCACCTTGAGGTCGCAGGTGGTGTTGATGAGCAGGTTGGAGGGCTTGAGGTCCCGGTGCAGCACGTTGGCGGAGTGGATGTACTTGAGACCCCTCAGGATCTGGTACAGGAAGTAGCACACGTGCTCGTTGCTCAGCTTCTGGGTCTTCAAGAGCTTGTACAGGTCCGTCTCCATCAGCGTCTGCACGATGTAGCTGGACACACGCACGGGTCAAGGCAAACAAACCCAAAAGTGACAGAAAGAAAGTCACGTCCTTTTTACATTGACCTGACAAAATGATGGGGCTTCGTATTTTCTTTTTTTTTTTTTAATTTATTTATTTCACTTCAGACCAACTTTCACCTCTTTTATTCAACCCGAAACTGCAAAACGTTGGGCTTCAGACGGTGTGAAACGTGTGTTGCAATGACTATGTTCCTCTAATCATTCTCTGGTAAACCAGAAAAGAAAAGAAAAAAAAAAAAATCAAACGCAAAATATAGACAGAAAGAACAGATGCACAGTTATCAAAAAAACAATCGATGAGGTCGCTCATGTTCTGACCTTTAGCCACGAGGAAATGATGTAAAGTAATATAACAAAAGTTACGCAAAGTATTAGAAAATCCCTGATAAACAACAGCCGCATCATATTTAACAAGACAGTTCCACGCATAGTTGCATTGATCAACCAAAGCTCGCAGAGCTGCATGCAATGTCTTCTAAAGTAAGTGGTAACAATTAGAGCTGCACAACATATTGCAAAATTAATACTGTTGTTGCAATGTTACTTTTAAAATACCAAAGAACTGCAGCAGATATTAGCTAACTGTACAGCTAGCTTACGCTGTAGTCGGAGACAACTTTCTGCAATGAACCCAAAAAAGAAGGTAGGTCAAAATATTAAATGAGATTATTTCCCATCGTCATCCTTTGCTAGTAAAACTCTGACGGACTTCAGCGGACTTTTCAGAAACAAACACCCCTTTCAACAAGGATGAAGACGTGACAACACCTCACACCCACTAGCTAAATTCGGTGGAGGATCCGTGATGCTGTGGGCTTGATTTCTCTGCTGAAAGGCCGTGGGAATCCTCTCAGAGCGCACAAAGATTTTTTTAAACCAAATCTGACGGATTCTACTGGAAAACCGATAACGGGGTCGTCACTGGGTATTCATATAACATACTGATCAGAAACCTGGGAGCAAAATCTAAGCACAAGTAGCAAAATCAGCTTTCTTTCATGGTAATCGACTAGAAACCTAGCAGGGTGAGATAAAGATCAGAAAAGACTGTTCTGTGCTGTGCATGACAGATACTGCTGTGTGTTTTCTCACTGGGCATAACCAAAAACCAAACGACAGACAGCAAATGAGCAGCTTTTCTTTGGCAAAGAGAGAAGAAAAATGATCCGCTCCAACTGTTGGCATTAATACAAAGCTGTGTTCACAGCATTATCTGTTGATCTCAGCTGTTCAGACCCCATCAGTTGTTACTTTTGCTCGGTAACAAACGCCTTTCCAAGGTGGCAACAACTGAGCAACTAAACCGACTGGGAGCATCAAACAAGACAAGATTGAAAGACTCGAACATTCCTGCCATTTTTTTTTTTTTTCCTGGAAACAATGAAGCTTTTGAACAAAGCAGCAGCCTGAGCAGCTCTCAGCGACAGCAGCTCGCTGGCGGGCCGAGCCCACACATCACTGCTCAACGGGAACCAAAAGAAAAACAACTGAAGCAGCTTAACCACCACAGGTGATGTGTTAGATTAACCCTGTCCGGTCCATGGGCGTTTTTGTATTTTACTTTTTCACCTATGCCTGTGTTGAATGGAGGCAAAACAGAGGAACCCATCTTCGCTTGGTATTGACATATTTTCAGGAAAAAAAAAAAAAAAAAAAAACACTTTTTGAATTTACAACTGAAATTACATTAAAAAAATCCCCCATTATCTGGAGTTGAAATCCATTCCAATATTTTTTTTTTGGACTAGGAAATTTATATATATATATATATATATAGTAAATCCATATATTTAAATGTATGGGATGCAGAGAACATCTACTTTGAGATAAATAAGTATCAGTGCTAATCTAATTTTTGTCCTAAAAATGTGAAACACATTTTATTTATGGTAGTTTTAAAAGTGGTAATATAGGATGGAAATAAATAGACTTTATTTGGCACTAAATAAAACAAAAAGTTAAATAGAGTTAATAGAATTTTAAAAAACGTGGCTGATAGTGGCATTCTTACAAAAAAATTGGTTTATACTAGGGGTGGGTATTTATTGTATCATTTATTAACTATTGTGAATCAAAATTTTCATTTATTGTTGTCTTGATAAAGTCCAATTAATAATAAAATCCCCAGTATTGTCAGACACCTTGTTTTTAGAATTTTCTCCACAAGATCATCAATAAATATCAATAAATAATCTGTGTGCAGGTTAGCGATAGAAATCACTCTAAGTCGTCTTGAAGAAGCCTGTTTTAAAAATGTATGTTTTTCAGAGCAGTTTTTGTGTTTATGGTGTTATGAATGCTGTGTCATGCAGTCACAGCCAAAAAAAAAACAAAAAAACAAAACAAAAAAAAAAAACAAGCAATAGTTTATTATTTTTCCCATTATCACAACAGTACCACAAAATTTGGTCCACATCCCTAGTTTATACTAAACCTGCACGATATGTCGAATCAAAACAGTCATTACAAAACCCCAAATGAAACAAATTATGTGGATGCAATTTTTGGAAGGAGAGCGTACGGTATTTTTGTTCTGTAGAAAATTTAATTATGTGATCCCTGAAAGCTAGGCCTTGCTACAGTAACCTCAAATAATAAAAACACTTGAAACTGCAATAACCTTCCAGCAGTCCTACTCTGCTTACTTTATATTCAATATCAATCTCAACAGAGTTTCATATTGAAGTTTTTTTAAGCAGGAAAAAGGGGCTTGCTGAAGCTCTATGGGGTCCTAGGATCCCGTATAAGTAATTACTAACGTGTTCGTCTCGCTTAACCTCATCGGATGCCTCGCAGGCGGCTTGACTGGAAGTGCAGCCCAATTCTCAAAGCCACACACTAAAAAAAAAAAAAAAATGAAAACCTGCCACAATAAAAGTGCAAGAGCGCAGGAGTCTCTGCACAATTAAACGTGGCAAGAGTAGACGACAAAGCCAAACAACAAAACTAACAAATAAATCCCTGCAACTCTTCCAAGGTTTTTGTCTCCAGTACCGAGCACCTGCTTTGGTAACCATAGAAACCTTGATGCTATCTGAGCTTCACTGCTCTTAGCTGAAAGTTTCCTCTCAGCTCATCCTAAAATTAAGGAAAAAAAATCTCCGTAACACTCAGCTCCCAGCGAATTACGCACGACCGAGCGTGGCAGGATACACGTCTCTCATGTTCTCCAACTGCGGCGCCCTGATGATGTCATTGATCCCGATGATGTTCTCGTGGCGGAAGCGCAGCAGGATCTTGATCTCTCGCAGCGTGCGCTGGCAGTACGTCTGGTGCTCAAACGGGCTGATTTTCTTGATGGCCACCCGCTGTTGGGTCCAGTTGTCCTGAGCTGAACTGAATGCAGGAAAAGGAAGGACAAAACACAAGTAGTAGCACACACACAACTCACTCTCTCTCTCTCACACACACACACACACACGCACACGCACACACAAGCAAAAACGACTGCAGAGGACGCAGGGCAGCTCTGAAAGGTGTGGAGTGTGAGGACAACGACATGATGTTGGCGTCACGGCTTTATCTAGGTGCTACTTCCTTTGTTGGGGTTATCGAAGTCGGGCTTTGCATGACACTTTGCAAGAGAATAGATGTTACACAACCGCTCTGCAGCTAGTGGAGGTGTGAAACTGAACATTTAAGTCAAATATAGAGCTGCCTGATTGAAATCAGGCAATTTCCGCCTGATTGGTGATAAGTGATTAAAAAAAAGAAAAATCTACTTTTTTCCTAGTCACTGAATGCGTCAAAGCTAAGAACTCCCTCAGTTTTCTGTCTATAAATGCATCAGCAAACAGCATGTACATTGCTGCACAGTTTTGTACTTCAAAATTGGACCTAAAAGTATTGGTGCGTCTCTATCCTTAAAATTTGCCAGATTTTTTTTTTCTTTCAAAGTGCCTCAAAATAAACAATGATTAAAAAGAAAAAATGTATACTTGATGACACGTGGAGAATGAATGTATGACGCCATCATTTAAACATCAAAATCTGCTCCTTTCCCCTTAATCTTATGTATAAAATAAGATAAATAAATCCTCCCCCACCACCACTCATTAAGCCATTAAAGCTCAGCTCTGAAATAAAACCACAAAGTGGCCAAACCAGCCAGCAGCAGTCAGATGACTCCTCCTCTGGGTTTAAGGTGAACTTTTTCTGTCATTTTGCAGACTAATTGCTCTTCCTCCTCTAAACCAACCGGTTGTGATGTTTACACTGTCTGCATGTATGGTGGCATCATCACACGTTTGACATCAAGCAAACAAATGTGAAATATGTAAACTACCCTCTGCCTCATCCCGACATGAATGGGTGTTTTTATCTCGATTTTTAAAAAAATATTACACTCCCCTATCTGATCTTCTTCTGGTCCAGTGATGACTTCACAAAGTGGCCACGCAGGGCTGCAGATCACATAACAGCAGGAAAGGCCTCGCCACAACTAACAAATCCACCCCCGACACTATGCTGCGGCTTATTCCTGCACAGAGGAGAACTGTGGTCCAATTAGGCTTATGGCACATTTGAGATAAAGTACAGCTTGCGAACATATTTGAGAAAAGTAAATCGCGTCCTGCGCAATCACTCCCAATCTCGCTTCCTGTACAGCTTATTAGAGCCCCGCCTGTAGCAGCTCCACTAACCTGTTAACCAGGACTGCTGCAAAGTTTCATTTTTTTTTTTTTTTTTTTTTGCACCCCCTGTTTTAAGTGCATCTATTTTGAAAAGATGCGCCGTTTTAAAGAGCTTGAAGGGAAGCGCGCGATGGGAGCTAGCAAACAGTACTCACCACACCATCCCGTACGCTCCCTCCCCGATGTAAGCCAGGTTGGTGTAGCGGGGTCCAACGTCAAATGCCTGTCCCTTCACCAGCTCCACGTCTGTTTTGGGCAACCGAGGTGGGGGCGCAGCCTCCTCCGGTCCAGAGATAGCCATCGGGACAGAGTCGGCGCAGGGGGCACGACCAGAGCCAGGGCCGTGGCCGGGGTTGCGAGCATGACCAGGGTCAGTCCTAGGAGCAGCGGCCGCTGCCTCCTCAGACTCGGACACAGTCATGGGTTCTGCTGAGCCAGAATCGGCGCCAAGAGAAGGGTCAGAACCAGAGACAACGCCAGAATCAGGGGCCGCTGCCTCCTCCAGTTTGGATACAGACATGGGGATGGGTTTAGGTGCAGCTTCAGGGTCGGGGTCTAGTCCAGGACGGGGGTCAGAGCCAATGTCTGAGCCAGGGGCAGGGTCAGAGCTGGGGCAAGGACCAGAGCCAGAGCCGAGACCAGTACCAGTACTAATCGCTTTCGACGGCTCAGTTGTATCAACAACTATTTCGGCGCACTCCGAGTTCTCGGCCTTGACAGGCATATCGCTGCATGAATCCGCCATTCTTCTCTACAAACCGCTCCCGCTCTCTGAGGGTGTTTCCTTCCGAAAAAATGCCGCTGCCTTCAGCAGGGTTTTCCAGCTTTCCGTTACTTATCTCCGGCGGATGAGTCTGCTGAACGGAGGGAATGGAGCAGAGAGGGCGATGTAGTGCTCCTCTTTACAACCAACAACGTAAATGGATTTGGTGCGCGAGCGCGGTTAGTTCTCAGCACTAAGCGTAAATGCGCGTGCAAAACTACAGCATCGTACAGGTGCGCTGGATATGTTTACAGGGCTGCATTGTTTGGGCGGGGCAAGATCGGTCTTACAGCTAAGCAAAGCAGAACAAGCGCATTAGAGGGACAGCCACCAGCCAGCAGTAGGTGTGTAGGCGAGTAGGCGCCGCTTTAGCTGTAGAAGCGATACGTCTGTGCATCCGCCATATTGGAAAGGGAACCTAACCTATACAGGGCTTTCATTACATAACAAGCCCTTACAAATTACTTTAATCCTTTAGTATATTATTCCGTTTACAGTGTTGCATTATAAGAGTGAGAAACGCAGAAAAACAAATAACAACAGAAATTCAACTGGTTGAAAAGCACCAAATTACGTTTAATTCATTTCAGTTATACATTTTTAAAGTAATTTTGTTACATCAGAAACAAAACAAAAGTGGACAATGTTTTAATTTTGTTTTTCAGATATCAGTTATTTGAATATAAATCACTTTATGTTAGGTGCTGTAAGGTAGATAACCAAAGTTAACATTCTTAAAGGACGCTTTGGGACATGTATAACTTTACCCTTTCTATTGACAACCACATAAAACATGGTGGTAGAAAAGTGATGGTCTGGGTCTCCTTTGTTGGTCCAGAAACCATAACTGATGGAACAATTTTATTCCATGTCAGATAACATTAAATTTTTCTAATGTAGGCTATAGTAAAATATGTCATAATGCTAAACACTTTCAATGATATAAAAAACTATTTTTATTGTAGAGCTCTAGTTTTTCCGACTAACAATGCGAAAAACCTTTCGTTTTTGTAAAGTTACGTCCAGCTGCATGCACTTGCCTACGTCATCACGCAAAGGGGTGCACTTCCTGCTCACGGCATTGAGTGGGTTGAGTAGATGATTTTACTCATAACGTCCAAGGAATGCTTTTCTCACCTTCGAGACGACACTGGACAAGTGCTATTCGTTTGGCGATAACTCTGTTTGGACTCCCGTTGACGGCCTCCACCTCTGGAGCAAGGTATGAGCAGCTTTATGTTGTCGGTTTCAAACTGAATAGAAACGAAGTAGTTACTATATGCAGCCAATAAACCAGAACTTAAAGTAGGTGTGTGATCTGTGGCTTTTTTGTTGCCCTCTTCAGACCTGCGGCTCTTTGCGCATCCCATCATTTTTACGGAACCAGTAAACATATTAAACCTATTTGTGGGGACTGTTACACCTGCAGTATCGGGACCATGCCCTCGCCAGCAGGTCCTCATGTAAAATCCAGATGCCCACAGTATCCACAGTCCACCATCACGCGCTTCACTGTACCAGACGACAAGGTGGACTGGAATCAGAAATGGCCCGAGTACAGCCCAGTCAACCACACTGCTCCAGTTGTTTTAAAGAAGCCAGTCTGGGCTGATCCCGACATTGGGTGAGCAACGCTTGCTTTTTAAATAAATCTAATATCTGGATAATTTGATTTGATCACACAGTGTATATTTCACTTCTTTGCTTTCTTGTACTTGCAAAAGTACTCCCTGTTTGTCACATCAGAGCCACAAGGTCCACAGCATGCAAATTGTGATATATACTATGTAATGGATCAGAACAAAGTAGTGCATAATTTTGAAGTGGAAGCAAATCTATACATGGTTTTCAACTTTTATTTTTTGAAAATATGAAATTAAAAAATAGGTCATTCATTTGTATTCAGTTCCCCCAATTAATTCCTTTTTTCTTTTTTTTTTTTTTTGCAATTAAAGCTGCAAATGTTTCAAATGCGTGTTTCTGTCAGGGATCCATCTGCAGATACGGATGTTTTGTCTTCTTTCTAAAATAGCTCAGGTTCAGATTAGATCGCTTGCGTCTGTGAACGCTGATTCTCTTAGCGCAGATTCTCAGCTGCATTTCCATCTGGACCTTGGCATTTCTTACACATGACTACACAGTTGCTTGAACTGAATAAAAGTGCGAGTTTTATTTTATGTTTAAAAAATTATGTTTATTTTTTTGCTTCCAAGTCACAAGCTACTTTGTAGTCTGTCACATAAACACCAAATAAATACATTTCAGTTTGTGGCTGTTATGTGAGAAAAGGTGAAAAAGTTTGGTGTGTGAATAATTTTGCCAAGATTTTTATATAATTTCTGTGTACCGTTTGCTTGTCCTGCAGTTCCTTCTCTCCAAAGTTCAATGCTGTTGATGGTCCTGTGGACAGGTCGAGCTTTGAGGGAAAATACAAAGTGGAAAGTGAGAAGCCATTGTAAGTTAAACAGTAATTTGAAACATTTCCCTGAAATTGGATTAATAAGAGTGTGTGTGCAGAACCAAAAAAACAACAACAACAACAAAAAAGTAAACGCCAGACTCTTTAATGTTAATGCACAATGACATTTGGGTGAGGACTATCTGTAGGTGCTTGTTCCTAAGTGGAGGTCAGCTAATCAACTTTGTGATCTTTACTGAAGAAATCCCAGTTTCCAATACTGATTGTTTCTGATCTAGAAACCCTCGTGGACGCACTGGTTTGACTGGACGAGGTTTGCTTGGACGATGGGGACCCAATCATGCTGCTGACCCTGTTGTCACAAGGTAACGTCTATTTAGGTATAAATTCGAATTTTGATTATCGTTCTGTTTCGAAAGGAGAGAAGTCTCACTGTCAACTAATTAAACTTGTTGCCTTTTATCTGTAAAAGGAAACATATCTTGATCAGAAGTTTCCATCCAGCCGTCTTTTGCATGAAAGCCATATTAATTTAGATCTAAAAGATTATAATTTTTTAGCAAGTTGCACAGAACCTCACATCTTCAGCTAGCTTCTGCCCTAATGCCGGTTGTACCTTTAACTGCCATTCGTTTCAGAAATGGTGGAAATAATTTACATTGGTTGATTTCCGGACAGTAGACCTGGCTTTTAAGCATGGACTTGTGACGGTTGAGGTCAGGCCCATTAAGAGTGCTTAATGTGAGTCTGCTTTATCTTTCCCAAAACCCTTTGTAATGTGTGTTTGGCGTCAGTTGGAAGAGCAGATTGAATCCAGTTCCAACCGTTCGATCAAAAACTGTCCACTTTGGTCGAAAGCCGATTTAGTTATGATGTTAAAGAGCAACCCAGGAGCTGCCAGGAATAATCCTCAGCTCTAAAATGGACACCTGAAAATTTGCAGCTGTTGACATGGACAAACACACATATAAGAAGAATGTTTATGAGTCAAAGTGAGGCTTTTAAACCTAAGCACACTGTATCTACCTTTCAGGCATGGTGGTGGCAGCATTTTGCTGAGGGTTCATTTTGCTCCCGCTGGTGCATTATATACAAAGTTTCTATGCTAATGAAGACCAAGGATCACCTCCAAATGTTTTTTAGGTTTACATCAGATCAACAACTGGATGGTTAAAACTTGGACATATCTGGTATTTATATGGGAAAATGATGTCAAACACACATTAAAACTTCATTTGACGTGGATAAAGCATTTAAGCATCTTGACTAAAACCATTTAGAAAATCTGTGAGACCAGTTTCTATTTTTCAGTCATGTGTTGTATTATTAGTCCGACCTGAATAAAGGATTCAAGTGCCGAATTAAAAGCTCAAAATCATTACTAAACGCATGCTCCTGACGAGTGCATGTGAACTTCTGACCGTCTCTATAGATGACTTTATTCTTTTAACTCTCTGATGACCTGAAGCGTTACTCTGTGTGGCAGATGGAAGGTAGATGCCAGCGGAGCAAAGATTCATCACTCGGCCTCCAAAAAGCCCATCCTGCAGTTTGTGGCCATCAAGAGGAGAGACTGTGGGGAGTGGGCCATCCCAGGGGTACGCTACTTTCTTACGACGTTTTCAGGGAAGCTGTGGAGAAAGACAAAATAAACCCGTTCGTCTTTGCATAAAGGAATTTAGAGTATCCAAGATCCACAATCAATCAACTTTGCTATTAGACAGATTTGGTTACAATGAGGTGAGTCAGCTTTCTTGCCAGACAAAAAACTTTACATCGACACACAATAAATATAAATAGAACATGATTCAAAATGGCCTGATGCTTAATTCTTAAAAATAGCAAAAACAAACATAAAAGCAGTGAAAAATGAAAACAACAACAACAAAAAAAACACTGACTTAAATACAGTATGCTCATTAGGACAAGATAAAAAAAATTAAAATAAAATAAATCGATATTAAAACTAAGGTAAATTGAATTTTAGAAGCTTATGGCTACAGGAACAAAGCTGGCTTTATACCAGCTTTGTATAATATACATGTATGTACATATATATATATATATATATATATATATATATATATATATATATAGCTTAATTTTACATTTTATGATGAAATATCTGCGTTCGGATGGGAGGAGCCTGAACTCGCAGTGCGGAGGATGAGACGGATCTCTCTAAGATGGGTGTGGATAACCTCCTCACCTACCCGAAGTAAAATGATTCTGGGTTTAGCTGCATCTCATCCTTCTACTTACTGGACCGTTTTTCTATTTGGTTCAGGCAGTTCTTCTTTTTAAGAGTTAAAATACCAAACTAGGACACAGAGCGGAAAGATGGAACCAATCCAATAAAGGCTCGATTAAAAATAGAACCAACAAGGTTTTGTCAAAGTGGAATGAAGGCAGTTTCCTGAATTCCCTTTCTTGTATACAGCCTCACAGTTTGCCTTAGTTTACTGTCAATAACTGTGACCAGATATTTGTAGGCATCAACAGCTTCCACAGCCTGGTCCTTCATAACAGTCATTTTCTGAAAATCAGTGATCATATCCTTAGTTTTTGAGATCTTAATCTGTAAGTAGGACTCATCGCACCACCGAACAAAGTCCTCCACCACCGAGCCGTGCCCCGTTTCTTCATCGTTAGGCAGGCTAATGACGACTGAGTCATCTGCATACTTAAAAATGACTCATCCCCGCGGAGAGCCGGTGGAGGAACAGAGCATCTCGGTCAATAACTTTCACTCTCTGTTTCCTTTTTCCTTGAAAAGTTTCAAATCCAGCCCGCAGGATTAGAATCGATGTTCTAAAAAAGCCCGCCAAAAAACAATAAAAAAAAAAGTTGTGCTTGTGATCCGTTTCCTTCATTAGAAAAGCCGTGGCATCACTAATTCACCTCTTAATCATATTCGGCAACGTTCACATTTTTATGGCACCCCCGACTCATGCTTGTTTATTCTCTGGCTGATGTTAGGAAAATTAAGCTTTGACGCCATTTTTTTTTTATCCTTTTGCTTTTTCATTCTGAAAATATATCTTGGTCTGCACATCCTGGTTTTGACAGGGGATGGTGGACCCAGGGGAACAGGTTTCCCTCACGTTGCAGCGGGAGTTCTCGGAGGAAGCCCTGAACTCGCTTTCTGTAAAGCAGTCAGAGAGGGAAGACATCCGCAAACGCATCCAAAACCTCTTCGGGTCTACAGGGTTTCAGGTGAGTAAAATGTGACGGTTTGTCATCACATTTTAGCTAAGAAAACAGAAGAAAACCTCCAATAGAATGGTTTAGATCACAGAATATCAAGAGCTAGTCCAGAACTAAATCAGTTTATTAAAAAAACAGCAAAAAAAAAACCCAAAACATTCTGCTTTGTTTTTATTTGTGACATACAATCCATTGGAAATTGTGGGTTTAACATAAAATGTGAAAAAGTTCAAGGGCTCTGAATACGTGCGAGAGATCCAGTTACCAAAAATGGATATGAGGAAGTACTCAAACAATATTGGATAAACCTGTCTCCTTTCAGGTCTACAAAGGATATGTTGATGACCCAAGAAACACGGACAACGCCTGGATGGAGACGGTCGTCGTCAACTTTCACGATGAAGCGGGTAACTTTCTTTTGCGTTTTTCCTGAAACCCTCCCTTCACCACAGGTGCACACTCGTCCTCTAAATATTCCTGTGATTGGCAGGCGACAGTGTGAGCGAGCTGCCTCTGCAGGCTGGCGATGACGCAGGACATGTCCAGTGGGTGGACGTGGACTCGTCCTTCGGCCTCTACGCGAGCCACTCCCACTTCTTGGAGCTGGTTGCCAGAGAGCGGCAGGCCCACTGGTAATCGGGAGACAAAAGGCTGCTCTGACGTTACGATGAGGCAAAGCAGAGCCTGAAGAGCTCTCGTCCATTCAGCACGCACGACTGCTAATGGGAGCGTTCCCACTAATTCATTCATGATATTCTGAACTGATAATGGAAAACATAAAGTGAGTTTAACCAGTTGGCATGACATGGCAAAAAGAGAAAAACAAACAAACAAAAAGAAAAGAAAAGAAAAAAGAAGTATTGTAACCCGAGGATAAGTAAAATCTATGAGGTTTATGTACATCTATGATAAAGCCATGGTCAGAGATTGTAATGCTTTTTCGATTCATTTGATCAAATGGCTCCACGGAGGATTTAAAGTGTGACCTTTTATGTTGCCATATTTATTGAATCCCCCCAAAAATTCTGCTTTGCGCCCTACGTCGGTATAGTCCCCATTTGAGCTCTTCCACCTTACTGTAAAGGGCAAGGGAAAGGAAACATGGTTTAGTATTTAAATAAACAAAAATCTGACAAGTGTGGTGTGTATTTCTGCAGGGTCTCAAACTGTCTCACATAATTATCAAACATTTAGACCCTAAAAACTCTTCAAGATCTTCAAAACTACCTCTAAAGTTACCTATAATTACATCTGAAAATTATTGTATGTTTTTGTACAAAGAACGCATTCCCGCTACTGGAACTGGCTTATTTCATGTTTAGACAATTAAAATTGTCTTTTAAAGTGATTTACTGTTATCTCCTTCAGTTTAGAAAAAGGCATTATAAGGTTTGGCTTAAATGCAGGGGTTTTATCAGTTGGTTAGTACCTGCTGTCAGTACTGAAGGTTAATTATTTGTTGTAAGAACAAACTGAAGTAAAGTAACCAGTCTGTAGCAGCACCAGATTTACACACACTATTTTCATCAAATTAAATTCACTGCTCAGAGCTCAGATTATTACACTTAAATAATACCCATCTTAAAAATTGGAGAGAGCATCAATGCTCTGAGTGGTAAGACTTGCTTCTCATCACTCATCTGCTATAAACAGCAGATTCTCAATTGAATTTAGGGCTGGGCTTTGATTGGACCACTTCCTGACTAAAGCTTGAGGACTGAAGAATTTCCATGTATTCCAAGACCGTTTCTCGGTTGACAGCCTGCGTCTCCAAAGTCTGTTGTTTAAAATAAATTCAGTGTGTGGACCATGGTGAATACAGCTGATCAGTGGGCGTTACAGGAAGAGCCGAAGAATCCAGCTGCAATGGGGCGCCAGCTGGAGCCTCTTACAAGAAATCACTAATTAAATAAGAGCCAGTCCTAGTGGGCGCCACAAATCCAATATGTTTTTTTGTTTTGTTTTTAGCCACACATTTGCCTGTTGTTCAATATTCAAGTGATGTTCAGGTCAGTGAACAAAGTCTGCTGTTTGACCAGAGAAGGAAGCTTTTTTTCCCCACACTTGTTTAGATGCTTTTTCACTTCTTGCAGACAGAGAGAAAGAGAGAGAGAGAGACAGAGGATTTTTATCTACAAACCACTCAAGCACTAATAGCATTTGCTGTTGAAGGAAGGGAGACTGTGACCAATCTTTCATCTGATTCTGGCCAGGGCTGCATTAGACACTTTAATGTTTAATGTCCAATTATAATTGGAGGTTTACTCTAATGGCAGTGCTGGCCCCAAGAATAAACAAACCGAGCAGCTGCTTACTGCTCAGAACCAATAGAGGGCACCCAAGAGCGCTGGAACAGTCACTAGTTGTGCTTCTAAATGTAATGCTTTGTTTGTGTGGGTGATACATGACTGTGCAAAATAAAACCTCTGATCCTTGATATTAATATGTTAAATGTGACTTTAAAATAGCTTCCATGTGTCAGTAGCCCCACAGCATGATGCTGTCACCACCATGTTTCATTGTAGGGATGCTCGTGTCCAGCATGTTGTGCAGCATATGTTCTCCGCCACACATAGTTTTGTTTGTAGGCCAAAAGGTTTGGTCTCATCTGGCCTAAAGTTCCTTTCTTCATGTGCTTCCTATGTGGGTAAACTGTAAATAAGACCTCTTCTGACATTGTTGTGACATTGACTTGCTTCTTACTGACTTGACTTGCACTCATCCATAATAGCTAAAATTAGGACTATATTAGATATTGTGTTAGTTTGTCCGACCCAAAAATTAGATATCGTGTTAGTTTGTCCGACTCATAAATGCCAAAGATATATCTTAAAGTTTGTGTTTGTGGCACGGAAAATGTAAAAAAGTTCAAACTGTATAACATTTGTCAGGTACTGTATTTTTTTCCTTTTACAAAATATTTAGACAGAATTAAAAAGAAAATAAACAAAACGACATTGTCTGTCATCTTTGATTAGAACAGTTATTTAAATCATAATTTTATTTATTTATTATTATTATTTTTATTTTTTTTAAACTTAACATTAACATACTGTAGAGGAGACTGAAGTTAGCAGTTCGGGTAGGTGTTGCGAGTCAGCTTAGAGGGAAACTACATTTCCCATAGGTCTTTGAGACAAACGACGCCCAAAGCTGACGACGTGGCTGAGAAACGTCTCATCACCGGTTTTCAGCGGACCGGGGTGATTCAAATCAGAGAGCAGGCTGTTCTCTCATATCTAGTTCTGGACTTGTAAAAGCTGTAGGGGTCCTTTGCAACTCTTTGACCTCATCACTGTGCAGTTATGTCGGGAAAAGTCAAAGGCCGAAGTGCGGCTAACGCGGACTCCATGGCTGGCCGAGTGTCCTGTGATGAGCGCATCTTGAGGGATATTCATCAGCTGTACACGGAGGCGGACAGCGGTGGGTTACATCACTTAATTAATACCTGGTAGTAATGCAGCTGCCCTTTTTTAATTACAGTGTTTGAGATAAAGTTTGTTGTTACCCCGGTAACGCGCTGGAGTATTCCGGTTGGAGCTAGGTGTTAGCTACTTGCTAATAAGGATTTTGTGATTTTGGCTGACGTTGCACTTGGAAAGGTCGATGCTAATCAAGTTAGCCACCTCTGTTTTTAACCTGCATAAAGTACTTTGTTGGACAACTACGTTGTTTAATGCAAGTGTAGCAGCTTTTGTTTTATCCCTTAGGGTTCAAGCTTAGCCCTGTGGATAAGAAGACATGATCACTTCTATATTTTATTTTTTATAGTAGAACCAGCGATAAAACAAATCCTAATAGTAGTTTTGCCTGTGTTTTTGTATTTTCTACAGGGTTAATTCCAGTGGCTGAATCTGTTGGTGTGAAGCTCCTTCCACCCAGGAAAAAAATCACGGTGATGCTGATGGGCAACCACTCAGCAGGCAAAAGCTCTTTCATCAACTGGTAAATACGGGTGTCCACTTTGACCTCTACAAACGTCAATGTATTTTACTAGAATTGAGTATGTTTAACACAAAGGCTAACATAATTTTGAAGTTTTTATATTGAAAAATCTTAAAAGTGTGACCCGCCTTTGTATTTAGCTTGCTTCTACTCTGATGCCACTAAATGAAATCCAGCTCAACCAAAGGCCTCCTGAAATCACCTGAGTGAAGTGAATAAGACACCACCTGTGTGTAATTTAAAAGGTTTGCAAGATAAAACTGGTGAACAAACATCATCGTTTAGTCAAAAGAACAAAGTAGACAAGTCAAGGGTTACTTTATAAAACAAGTTTTTTCTTGTTTTTTTTTTTAATGGCTCATACAACATGTGTGCTACATTTTAAAAGAAAAACACCAAGAGTCTTAGACATCTATAGTTATGCGCTGCGTACAAGAAACGAAATACGAAATCAAACGTTTTTTATGCATTAGCAGGGTTTCCCCCAGACAACTTGCTAAGCCCGGTGGTGGGGGCGTACCGGTGGTCCACCAGTGGTCTACCTTGTTTTTGTATTAAAAGATGTGACAGAAAATATTAAAGTATTAATGTGTAATTATATGTTACAGGAAAACGTCTCCAGTGAAATGCTATTTAAACCTGCAACTAGTCTAAAAACAACAAATTTGCACTTCTGTTTAATCCAAATTAAGTCAGCAGCGCCATCAGGCCCCCAAGAGCTTTAGGGGCCCCATAAACACTAATATTTTAAAACAGACCACAGATACATAAATGTAACACTTGTTTATTGCTGTTAAACTTGATTCAATTTCAGCATACATAAATTAAAAGATTTTAAGTTGTATAACATTTAAATGCAAGATTTTAAGGAGCTGGCAAGTTTACTTTGTAAAACTTCAAATAACAATATTCATATTGTTTTGTTACCATAGCAACAATCTGATGCTGTGAGTTTAATCTTTGAGTTTACAAATCAAAATTAGTAAACTGCGATCATAACTTATTGCTTTTTATGCTGGCCAATTAAACTACTCTCTTCTGCCATATTTCACTAACTCTAACACAAAAGCTGTTAGAAGTGCTGATGATTTTAGCAGCTATAGGGGCCCCTAAGTCAAAGTCTGCGCAAGGCCTCATGCAGCCTTGGACCGGCCCTGCACAATGAATAAATCCGCTGCACTGCGCAGAGATGCGCAACAAACGGGAGATTTGGCTTTAGTAGTTGTTCCATTTCGTGTCTGTTGAGTTTTAATCGTCACAGAAACTATTCTGGTTGGTCGAGTTTATGGGACTCGACCGTGCCTGACGGTCACGAGTTTCTCAGATCTCCGTGCAGCCACGCGCATTAACTCTAAGTAGACAACGCATTTGATATGGGTTGATGCATCGTGTAACCGGAAAAATAATACTTAAAATAATATAAAATCTGCGTGATGTGTGACTCCGAGGAGAGCGTTAAAGCTCCTCACCGGGCTGAACCTGCATGATGTGGTTAGCGCTGCTTGTTATCCACAAACGCTCCGGCCAACCGGGACCACAGACATAAACTTTGAAGACAGACACAGAGCCACACGCTGGGCAGCGTGTTGAGATGTATATAATTGTTCGTTCACAAAGATAAATCATTCTCACTGCTCCACAACGTGCACCTCTGAATACGCTACAAGTTATTCCTGCAGTTCACATAGAGCTGCGCAACCAGACCTAACGCGGCGGGTTTTAAACTCTTACCTAGAGTTCTCCAAAGGATCATAATTCCTCACAGTAAGTTGATGTAAATATCCATACAGGTCAGCCTGTGTCCAGTTTGAGTGAAAGGAGGCGCGCGCGATCCCGCTGAGGTAAAGCAGCGGCAGCGCGCGAACCAAAGCGCAGAGGCGCCAGCTGTGTGATTGGTCCGCGCGCTGTCGGGTTTAAATGCATAAACTATAAACCTATCTATTATAAACATATCCTTAAGGATAAATCTCCTCTGCTAGTGAAATGCTTAGAGCAACAGAGACGCTTGCAGCCTGGCTTAAAAAAAAACGCGATTTTTTTTTTTTCTATTTATTTTTCTTGAAACGTAAACAAGCAACGCTTAGCCTGGCGGCGAGGCTAGTAAAGCATGGCGGGCCGCCAGGCTTATAATACACTGGGGGAAACCCTGATTAGGTTGGCCCAATCAAATTTCATTAGGAATCTATGTGATGTGGGGAAATTGGTTTAGGGTTTTCACGTTAGATCTTAATTAAATACCCTGACGTTTGTTGTTGTAATGTGACAAAGTGCTGAATAGTTCAACAGGCCTCGTCTCCTGTGATCCATTTTAAGTTGCTCCACATTTTCACTCGCATGCATTTGCTGTTCCCAGGTATGTGGAGGAGCACATCCAGCGCACTGGGGTGGCTATTGAGACGCAGGGCTTCAGCTTTGTTACAAGCGGTCGCAAAAGAGAGTCCCTCACGGTGAGCGCAACAGCAGTAGATTATCTCTGGAACAGGAATGTTGTTGGTCAAGGCATTAACATGCACATTCTTTTTTTCTACCCTCCTGTCATTATTAGTAGATTAATGCAGGAACAGTGACAAAAATGTGGTTTTGTTCCCATCTTTAGGGAAATGCAACCCTTCATCTATATCCACATTTCAAGCCTCTGCAAGAGTTCAAAGGTGAGCATTTTGATTCATCACCACCAAAAAATGTGCTGGCTGCTTGTCTCAAGAAAAGTTGTTTTTATTTTTTATATATATATATATATATATATATATATATACTATGATATTTTTCAAATGGTTATCCAACCTTTTAAATTCTCCTCAAGGTGTTTCAGAGTACCTGAGCACAGAGATCTGCACATCGCGACAGAAGCGGTTCAGCCTGGTGACGTTTGTGGATTCTCCAGGCTTGGTGGATGGAGATATGAAATATCCCTTTGACGTGGATGAGGTGATCCTCTGGCTGGGTGGGTTCACACAAAAATGCTTCCAATCATTTGGACTTAGATCTCCATGGTAAAGTGCCCTTCTTCTAGCCTGATGGATTATTCCACTTCCTGGTGTTGCATCATAAGCGGTTCCCTCCCCTATTCAGTTGTTTAAATCTCAGCAGAAATCGACAATTTATTCTCTAAACAAATGTAAGAGCTGCTTCCCAAATGTGCACATTGTTCTTAGCAAACGCATTTAAGCAATATTACAGAAAAAGTGAAATTATAAATAAATGTGCAGGTGTGAAAGAAAACATTTTAATTAATAGTAGCAATAAGAAATGGCTGGAGGAACCTCAACACTTTTCCATTTTCAAAGGCTTTCCTTCATTCCTGTTATCCTTCTTTCTATTCCTTCTACTTTTCATTTGTTTTGTGTATCATAATGTTTTTTTTCTTATAGTCTACTCCTGACTTATGAGGATTTAAAAAAAAGTTTAGCCTACTTGAACCTCATGTTTTCTTGTCTTTCCCATTTTTAGTAATAGCCTTAAGAGTCAGTTGTGTTTTTGAGATACATTTAT